TATTCATAGTTTGTCTATCCGTTATTTTCATCGCATTCTGTCCAGCACCATTTTCGAGAGGATGAACAACAACAAAGTGAATTATAAGGAGTTTTTCTTGCATAGTATCTTTACACCTAATTGGAAGATCAATGCTAGTGCGTTCTTCTTGGCACATATCCAATCCGTTTGTGCGAGGGGGACTACATCTTTTTGTATTGGAGGGTTAGTTACCTCTATAGCACTTGCTTTGAACCAGGGGGACAGACTAGAGAATTTGCCTTCATTGCCAACCCTATTTATCGATATTGATAAATGTCGTGCTGGTCACCTGGTCAAGGCTAGAGAGGATAATCTTATGGTGCAGAATAAAAAAGTTCCGAGTATTATTTTGCCTAATCTTGAGTTCATTGATGTAACGAATATGGAGAAGTGACTTTATGATCTGAATGCCCCTGCTCCTAGTGAAAACATGTAAGCTAACCAAGGTGGTCCGAATAATGTTGAGCCTGATGAAATGGATCAAGAACTGGAGCAAGAAGCTCCACAACCTGACATCCACCCACCTGCTGCACAAATTCCTCCTAAAAATTTTATAGGTTCATCATTCGAGCATCAGCCCCGAAGAAGAATAAACCAGGGCCATCCAGTTACTCTTGATGATATTTATGCTGAAATGTTGTGACATCGTAAAGCAGAAGCTCAACATTACCAAAGAATGGAAGCGCAACATAATGAGGTGATACAGGAGGTCCGACAACTTCTGCGAGATCAATATGACTACGCCTACTGGAATGATCGTAGTATGTCAGAACTAACTGAAGAAATGTGAGCATTGACTTATCATGTTGACAGCCTGCATGAATTTTTTTCTCATGTCGGACTTCGGGGATTTGGTATAGAGCCTTTCCGAGGTGGAGATTATGCATGTGGACGAGCATGAGCAAGGGCACGTGGAAGAGCATGTGGCCGAGGCGACGAGTAGTTATCATCTCAGTTTCTTCCTTCCTTTCTCACATTACATCATTACATTGGGGACAATGCTCGGTTTAAGTGTGGGGGAGGAAGATTTAACGCTTTCATTTACTGTTTTCTAAGTAGATTTACATTATCGTCTATTTCCCTTAAATAAACATTTATGTATTATTAAGTTCTTATATGTAGATTTTTGTTTATTATTTGACTTCGAAAAGTTCTTGAGCCATAACAAAAATTTCGTTGGTTAGATGCATAACTTAACACATTCAAAAAGTATATAGGTTGCTCACTCTTAAGATATGTTAGAAAGAGTAAAATTAAACAAAATTAATATCGTCTTAACACTCTAAAACCCCCGATTACGCAAGACCAGTTTAAGTACCTATTATACTGAAACCTTAAGCTTTAGTTTTAAAGTAACCCCGAGTAGTTTATATAAGCAGTCGACACTCTTAATCACAAACTACGTAGAGAACCGATGAATATAAGTGAATGGTCTTAAAACATTTCCAAAAACATCATGCCATGATGAATTAAAAACAGGGAATGCGCTAATTAAGTTAGGTAACCCTCACCCGATCACTTAATCCAACGGTTGCGGAACCTACTAAAATATGTTATAACAACCTATTGTAAGTTGGTTCAGAAGTGTCTGGTGCTGAACTTTGTAGGGCGGACTATGGTTTGATCCCCTGCAACTTGGAATTGGGTAAATAAAGGGGTTACCAAACTTATGTACCAGAACCCCGTGCTTAAAATGACCATCACTAACCGGTTACTCTACTATGTGCGTGCAAAAAAGATAAAGGGCTTAATGTGATTGCGCTCGAATGAAAAATGGGCCAAATAAAGTGAAAATAACTAGGTTGAGATATAATAGCATGACTGGGACTGGTCTACATAAGGTGGGTTTGTTTAGTGTCATTACTGTATCTTTAGTGTTGATATTGAGCTTATATTGTTCTAACAAAAATACCTCGCAACCACGTACGATTTGAGTTTTTTCATGTATTTGCATTTAACATGTGTTTAATTTATTATCATACTGATTATTTTCTTGAGGACAAGCAAAGGGTCAAGCATTGGGGAGTTTGATAACACGAAAACACATTGCATATTCGGCTCGATTAGCATAAATGATGTTACCATTTTATGTTGATTATGTTGCATTAGTTGGTATATTAAGTTTGTTTCAGGTATTTATATTCCACAAGGCTTGCATGAGAAAAGAGGAAGAAATGGAAAAGAAATAAATTGAAAATCATATTTTCATGAAAAATAGCAGGAAAATGCCTGACAAAAGACTGTGACGGTCGTCACAGCCTTCATGTTGGTCGCCACACCTTGAAAATATGTGTTCCCCTCGGCACACATGATGTTACAGTCACCATAGTTTGAAAGTTTATGTGCCCCACGACACACAAGGCATGCCCCTCGCCACAACTTTGTCCCAGTAACTTGGTTTTCTCCATGTCTGCAACCAAGCTCCCTATATTCACTCAACAACTTACTCAACAACTGAGTCTTCCGTATTATGCTCCATGATGACCACGTCCTTTATTTTGGAAGCCCAGTCTCCAAAAAACCAAGGAGTTAGTCGAGTCTTCTGATTCCACGATTCCTAAATCTTCTCCAGCGGAAGTTACAATCAGTCTATAAAAAGGAAGCAGTAGTGTAGTAAAAAGAGTTCAGAGGTACTCACCAAATTTTTCCTTCGAGCTTTTGTTTTAGAGATTTTAAGTAGATAAACCCCACCTGAAATAGTAATAGTTTTCGACATCGGGGAGCGATTGCACCAATAGATTTTCTTCACATCCTTCAGAGTTTTGTTTTAGGTTTATAATTTTTTCTCTGCATTCAATTTATTATTTCTGCAAAGAAAATCCTACCGACATTCTGTGGAGGACTGCATTTGGTACTAGAAGTTTAAGATTAATTCCAGTTTCCTTTATTAATTCCAGGTTCTTATTTCATTTATATTTACTATTTCTATACTTAGTTATCATGATTGAATTATTGTTTCTTTACTGTTATTTTGTGTTGATACTCAACAACATGTCTGGCTAATTTCCCTAATACCAGTATGTAAAGTCATAGAATCGAAGGGGTTCGGTAATAAATTGGCATAAACACTTATAAAATACTTTTCTGGTTTGGTTTCAATAATTAATATTAAAATTGTTTTGTTACGAGAGTAAAAGACAAACGAAGGTTAAAATCAATACAACAAGAGTTTTAGAATTTAACTGGATAGCGGTAATCGAACATTAATTTTAAATACAGTGAGAGCTCTTTAGGATTAATTAGATTCTATTTGTTTTTAAAAAGTATTTATAGATTTTAAATGAGACATGCTTTAGTAAGCATTTAGGTTTAATAATATAGTCTGAGTCAATAAATACGAGAGTGCGAGATAAAGGTTTTCAAATTGATAGTTTCTACTGAAAGAGTGTTTTAATACTTAAAGTTGTGCCAATGACTTACCGAATCCCCGAAGTCCAACAGATTACATACCGGTGTCTCATTATTGAATATTTCATCTAAATCTAAGTTTATTTTCGTTTCACCCGAAACCCAAGATTAATCACTAGCCTTAGATTTACATAGTAACATTGGATAATAGTAGTTTGATTATCAGTCCTTGTGGGTTTGATATCTTTTAAAACTACGTGATACGACTGTGCACTTGTAGTCAGGATTCTATAGACATACTAAGTCACAATCACAGACCGAACATATGAATTGAAGAAGATATCAAGACGAAATTTATGCCCAAATAACCACTCAAAAACGTCAAACCGGGTGAAAGTTATGACTTTTTGAACATATGAAAAATAACGGTTCAGCACACAGTTTCCATTGTTCACTGTATACCTTCAAAGTATTTGCACATTTAGAGACCTTCCTCAACGAATTGGCTTTCGAGTCGAACACGAAAATCAAAGAACATAACATGACAGTTCAAAAGTTCCAAGAACCACTCAAAGATGACCTTCCGATCAGAAGTTATGAAATTGTAAGCAACTGAAAACCAGCGAACCGACAAATCCACTATATAACTTGATTTCAAGATTTTTGTGCTTTTGAAAATCTTTCTTTCACAATTAGCCTTTGACCCAAACATATGAAATAGAGAGGATGTCGAGATGGTTCCAACTCCCAAATACCCAATCAAAGATGATTTTCCGGTCACAAGATATGAATTTTTGAATACCAGAGAACCAGTGAACCATCAAATCCACTATGTAACATGATTTCATGTATTGTGCGCTTTTGAAGACCTTCTTTACAAAATTAGCCTTCGACCTGAACTGATGAATTGAAAAAGATCTCAAGAAGGTTCTAATTCCTGAAGAACCATTTCCAAACCATTTTCTGGATGGAAGTTGTGAATTTGTAAGCACAAACGGCAAAATACCTCTTTTTTGCTCAAATTGTTCTGAATTGATTGAAACGCTTAATTTTGCTTGAAATTTAAGGCATGATAAAACACATGAGAGCTTGGCATGATGATGACTTGATCACTCACTAATTAAAAATCTCGGAAAAATATACGGAGTGCACTTCAAACCGAAAACCCTAAGTTTATGCTTTGTTGTACTTGTTTGACGAACTGTTGTTTTTTGTAGCTTGACGCAACTAAATGCCTTGATACCGTAACCATGGAATCAATGATATAGATGCATGAGTATGTTAAAGAAAAATAAGCCAATTATGGTTAAACTGAAGAGGGTGAACTTTGGGGTACAACAACATGTTATTGTGAAAAGTATGTGGAGGTATGAATAACTACATGGTTATGCAGAAACTAATCGGTGAATTGCATACATAAAATGGTAGAGGAAATCTAGTCCCTTCCAGATATTTTATCATATTAAAACTCTACTTATTTCATTTCATCTATTTTATGTTTTTATTACTCGTATCAAATCAAACTTTCCATAAACTTTAACTTGAATGATATTGATAGTCTAAACTTTGGTAATATCGCTCAGTCTCTGTGGATATGATAACAAAATACTTTCTTTTTGATTTACTTAACATCAACAATCTAACAATACCGTCATATAGGCTTTAGTAGCACAGTTAAATCTACTAGCAGCTCGATGACGCACAAATATCATCTTCAACCAATCCAGCCTATAATAAGGACCTCTACAAAAATGGATCTCCTTAGCTGCCTCGTCCAATGGAACACCCATCAGATCAATAGCTAGTCTAATAGCATCACTTTCAGTGAAACCTTCTTGAGGGTCAACTAACTCACCCCTAATCGGTATGTGAAGAAGACATGAAACATTATCCAAAGTAATGGCCATATCGTCAAATGGCATATGAAGTGATGATGTTTCCAGATGCCACCTATTGCACCCTAAAATTTTCCCTCGCATTCCACTCAAAGACATGTCTCTAGAGGTCCTTAATTGCTCAAGGTTGACTAAGGGTTGACCAGATAAATCCTCCTCCTAAGACAATGAGCCTCAAACTAGGGTTTCACTCCTCATCAATATGTTTGAGTTCCAAGGGTCCTAAATGGTTTCCATAGCCCTAATATGTCCTCAAGATCATCCATGCCAAGTTTCATACCTTGCACAAGAAGTTTACTCAGTCAACTGCTCAAATGCCTGAAAATGAACTATACTAGCGCAAAAGTCAATTGTGACCCACATACAATCAAACTTTAAGATTTTTGGTAAAAATCAACATTTTTAAGTGATATCCATCATTTGATCAAGGGTTGATCATGATTCCTCAAGGAATTCTCCTAATTCATCAAAACTCAAAAGTTGCTAAATTAGGGTTCCTATAGGAAAAGTCAACCAAACTTTGACCAGGCATAACTTTCTCATACTTTATCAGAAATTTCTCATCCAAGGCTAATTTTTAAGAGAATCCAATTCCCTACAACTTCTCTTCATCCCTCAAATCCAATAAATGCATCATTTGGAAGATACAAGCTCAACCATTATAGGTCCTTCCAAAAAGTCAACAAAAATACCTTTTGGGTCAAAGCTTCTTACATGAACATGGAGGATCCAATGGAGATGAAACCAAAAGGTTTGTTTAGAGGACATCCTAAGAATTATAAAAAGTCTAAGAACACCCTCTTAGGGTCAAAATTGAGAGAGATGTACATTTTCAAAGTTGGCCCTTTTTGGAAATTTGCACAAAGTCAACAATGCTCAAAATTGCATTTTTTCCACATGGGCCCATCTTTTCAAGATTGAATCTCATTCCTAGCATGGTCCACTACCTATGGGACCCTCCATGCCTTATTTATTTGTTTATTTAATTTATTTTGATTTTTATTCATTTAAAACTCAAATAAAATCAAATAAATCACATAATTTGTTTTAGGAATGATTTTTGCATTGAATGGAGATCTCATATGCTGTAAATAGCCAAAGAAATCGTGTAAGGCCAAATGGACACAAAATCTTCACATATGGTAACTTTTCAAGATTTTATTTTTTCTTAAAACAATGCCATTAATCTTTGGATTCTTGCCACAAATATTGCCCTAATCTGATTCACTACATATGCCAATGTATTGCAACCCTAAAACACAGGTTTTGAGAGGCGCATCTAACTCTAAGAGAAAGAACAAAGTGTCAATTTTTTTTGTCAAAAAGTGCAGATCGGATTCCTTTCTATAGGTTGTTTTAAGCAATTCCAAGGATACAACATCACTCCTGGACATCCTCTGAAGCCATTGCAAGCATTCCCAAAGCCTGAAACGTCAAGAATCGTGCTCTTTAATAGTCACAGTTTGTGTTTTCTTTCAAACTCGATTCCAATTATTTGTCCATTATGAATATGTTTTGATCATATATCCATGCTTATTATCACATTTGCAATGTTTTTGATTGGTTTGATTAAAGTTTAAGCGCGGGAATAGCTTCTTGCCATGGCTAGGGTTCATAAGCTTGAATTTGGGTTTTCCTTCTCTAGGGAAAACTAGACCAGATTATGGGTACCATAGCATTCAGGGGAAAATTTATGATTGATCCCTGGTTGTAGTTTTAATTTATATTGTTTGTATTGAGTTTTGAGATGTTGCAGGGTTATAGCTATGGAGAAAAATTGTCAGTATAGCTTTTTAGTGACAATTTTGTTTGTAGGTAAAGGTTTGGTATCAAAAGCGACAGCCCCATGAAGAAGAAGATTAGCTGGCAGACTCCCATTGGGAGATTTGAATTTACGCGCGTTACTGGGCATAATAGTTTTTTATGTTATATTTTATTTGATTAAATATATTCACGACTAACAATTCAACACAGATGTTAAAGGCAAGCGCGTGTGAGAGGAAGGGCCTGGGTTCGATCCTAGGTCTAGACATTTTCTATTTTCTGATTTTCTTGTTTCAGATTCAGCGTGCTTCATAGTCAAGATTTCACCATACACCTCAAAGTCTCATACCATGGATCATTCACTGATCAGATCCAACATACAGCAAGTTAAGAGCATGATAGACCCCCCCCCCCAAAGGTGATCCCCATCGGATCATGCGCAGACAGAAGGGCCAACAAGCTTGGGCCTGGAAAATTTCAGCCCTACACCCCCCAAATTACTTCTCATATCAGGCCCATTCTATTTTCTTTGGCTTTTAACTTCTTTCACATTTTTATTGTTTTATTTATTTTTAATTGTTTTAAAAAGTCTTTTTTTAATTAAATCTTAAAATCATAAAAACACAAAAAACATTAGAATTAGGTTTTTTATAAAATATTTAATTCCATTAATTAATTAGGTTAATTAGGATAATTTAAATTCCTTTTTCATAATTAAAATTAATTAAAAATTAGATTAATTTGCAGAATTAATTACTTTCTCAAAAATCCAAAAAAAAAATTTCTTCACTAATTAAATGTCTTTGAATATAATTGTTAATTCCCCGTATTTAATTTTGTCGCGCGTATTCTTTTTCCATTATTTTTTTAAATTATTGTATCTATTTCGAGTTTGTAATAGCTTTTAACTTAGGTTTATTACTGCTTTTATTTACCGCTTTTTTCCCCAAGTTTGGTTATGTAACCCCCTCCCCAAAGCCTTGTGTTGTACCCCCAAATTTTCCCTCTCATTTGTCAAGTATTTGCTCACAAGATATTATAAGACGTCAAGTTTGCAGCACTGATACATCAATTTAGGCTTGAAATTGGCACAAGGGCAAAATGGTCAATTGCATAATGGAAAGTCAAACTTTGAATTTTTGGTCAACATTGCAACCCAAAGATCAAATTTCATCAAGACGTTAAAAAATATCAAGCTTGATCATTAAGAAGTCAAGAGAATCAAAAATCCAACTTTGCAAGACTTTGAAATTTTTCCAAGTATTTCCTATACTTGGTTAATTTCATTTGCTTCATGGCATTTCACTATAAAATAATTCAAGATGATGCAAGTAATTCAAGTTATTACAAAGTGGCATTCTTACTAAGTTACAAATTCTACAACTATGCCTTGATTAAATTTTCTCAAAAGACTTTGTCACAATGTTTTGGCCCTTGATATAATGTGCATGAAATATTCCACAAGACCCAAAATTGTGACATGCTACAAACTATGTTGTCCAAAGTTGAAGAAAATATGATATCACATTGCCACAACACACTATGTTGCCCTGCAAGAAAGCTTGTGTCATGCTACATCCTAAGTATGCATGTTTCCCAATACAGTCCAAAACTGCTCTATGCAGTATGCCCAAGCCTGCACCACAACAGCCCCAAAATTGCACCAAAATGGCAAAGGAAAATTGTGTGCAGAAAGTATCAAAGCAGTATGCAAAAAAAATTCAAAATGACTTATTTGTTTTCCCCCTTAAACCACAATCAAGGGGGTCTACAAGAGAGAATTGTCTCATAAGACAAAGGGGTTGGACTTTGAAGAGAAAAAAGATTTTCTAGAGAAAAGATAGAGAGTTTTGTTGAGCAGAAAAACAATATTCTGTACAACCTTGATACATTTTCAAAACCAAGCCTATTCTTATTCAAAACAGAAAAACCCAATCCATTACTCCACCATACAAACTCTCCTTTAAACCAAACAACTCATCATAGATAAAGGTGGTCCAAAACATCACAAAAACAGTCCATGTAGTGCTATCAACTTCACCTTCAAAACACCAAAAATATCAAAGTACAGTCTAACTCATTTTCAACAGTCTGGAGCAGCTTTCTGGAGATTCATTGAGGTTCTCATCACATTTAAAAAAAACATTCAGATTTAAAACAAACAGTGCAGTCCAGAGGTAAGTCTTCTTGACTTGATATCTCTCTATACATCATTATTGATTTGCTTATTCTGAAAACAAGATGTAGTACTTTAATAGCTTTTTGAACTAGTTATCTGCACCTTGTTTAGGCTTATTCAATCATTTGTTGTTCATGTTTATCCATCATATACCATAAGCTAACATGTACAACCAGTAAAATGATGTTTAAGGCAGGAAAATGCAGGATGTATCGACACATATCCTCATGTGTCGACCCATTTTAGTAAAAAAACAGGGCATGAGTCAACACATAACCCCCATGTATCGACTCATACTGATTTTAGGTTACAAAACAGAAGTGGGAAAAGACTACGAGTCGACACATAGGCGTTTCGCATCGATGCAGGAAGGTGCATAAGTTGACACATCCTATTATGTGTCGACTCATACTGAGCATATTTTGTTTTACAGGAGTAAGGAAAAGCTATGTGTTTATGCATAACAACATGAGTCCATACATAGTGGATCAAAATGCTTTTCTTCCTATATTTTGCACTGTTTTTACATTATCTTCGTTATTGTTTGATATGGTTGTAATATTTTAGTTTCTACCTCATCCCTATTGCGAATTTGTACCCATCCCTCTAAAATGATGTAATAGCTTAGATTTTATTTCCCTCATTTTTACTTGATTTTCATATATGGTTAGTAAAATAGGATGTATGACAAGATAAAAACTAACAAGTAGCTCACCAAAAGTCAAAGACAAATACATGCAAACTAACACACTCGCACACTAACACCTCTAGGGTAATCTCACTTTGTCGCCTATTCGGAAAATAGTCATGTCCCTCGAATATGGGACGTTTTAGCAACAAAAAAAACCTTCAATAAAAAAAGGATCGTAGTCCCTCGATGACCCTCGATGTTGCCTTCGGTAAACGATCTAGTCCCTAAAACAACATTGCTAAAACGTCCCATATGTTGCCTTCTATGACTATACAAATGTCCCAAACGCTCGTCCCTTCATATCCATGATGGGGCTCCTTACCAAATCAATGGTGAGATAAAAACATCTAAAGAAGGAGGAAAAGCACATCTAAAACCTTTTGAGTAGGTAGA